TTTAAAGTTATATTTTATTGAACTTCCTCCATTTTAAAAGTTTTGAGGTTTTCACGGCGATGACAATGAAGAAAGTCGTCTTCTGGGTTTAGGCACCGTGTATTCTTCGTTTTGGCCGACGTTTCGGAGGAACGTAGCGCCTCCATCTTCAGAGCAGTTGAATAGCTGCGGAGAGCAGTAGCTGTGGTGATAGGATGTGGAAGGTGCTGCTTATATACGAAGTAGGCAGGGGGGGTGGTTAGGGAGAACGGACCAATGGGAGCAGTGGAGAGCGATTAAGGCCATATATGGTGTGTGACTAAGGGCGAGGGGGAACGGTCAGTGAGTACAGGAAACTTGAGGTCAATAGCACTAGGAAGTGCTGTAGACAAGAAGAACCGGTAGGTTGGGGACAGGCTATTGACGTCAATGACATGACGAAGAACTGGTGTGGCTAGTTGGATTCTCTTGAGGGAAGAGATGCTACCATGTCTGTCGAGATTGTTGAGAGCGATAAAAGCCATATGATGTAGTGTGCTAAGAAAGGGGGGGAAACGGCCAGTGAATCCAGGAAACTTGAGGTCAATAGCACTAGGAAGTGCGGCAGACAAGAAGAACCAGTGGTTGGGGACAGGCTACTGACGTCAATGACATCACGAAGAACTGGGGTGACTTGTAGGATTTCTCTTGATGGAGGAGATGAGTGGCTTCCATGACTTGTTGAGACTGAACCCTGTTTCCTTGTTCATGTTGTTAGGATGGAGCTCGATCTCAACGGCCTCCAGGATTATGCGATCTACTGAAGACGCCGTTCAGATCGTTAATTGATTTATTTAACAGCTACAAGTCGTAACTACAAATAGGTATAACACTGTTACGGCTTTAGAAAATTTACAAACCCCCCACAATAATCTCTTCAGTAGTCTTCACGTATTTACAACGCGGGAGTCGTCCAAGTGTCACTGAATTACACACTCCCAATAGCTCTACTACAGCACACACAAAGTCTTGAAGGCACACAATACTCGCAAGTCTTCACTGGCTGACTTCCAAGTATCGCACACTGTCACATAAAATCCTCTAACCACGCGTTCGGATCTTCTTTCCGCGACTCCTGCTATATTTCAGCTGCACTCGGCGACTTCACGATCCACACTGTGTCACTCCTGATCACACACTTTCCCACATACTGCTCAGCCGGCTTTTTATACCATTCCCGTTGCCTCGTGTTACCAGCGATGTCCCGTGTTACGTCACAGTGGGAAATGCTGTTACGTCACCGCAGGAGAGGGGGCGGAGTGTTAACTGGCCTGTTACCGTAGCAGCGGCAACGCTCCAATGCTGTTACGTCACCACTGGCGGGGAAGGGGGTGTCCTGCAGAGCGCAAATACGTCACACTATTAAATTAGGATGTTGGGGTACAGGCTAGATTCAATCAAATTGCTGAGTATAGAATCTGATGGAGATATCATTTGAATGTAGCAATATGTAGCAGTATATCCTCTGGATCCGTAAAAGGCTGGCAATTTCTTGACACCCCGAACGACAGTCAGCTTCTATAGAAAGGCTCTAATTTATATACTTGAACATACTTTTTCATTTCCTGCAGGAGAATAATTTTCATGTACGTGTATATTACTTTTAGGTAAAATTTCTGTTATTCGGCTTCAGATCAAGGGATCATGAACTATACTGCAATGACACAAATTCACATGTGAGCAATAGTTAAATTCAAACTCATTACGTTTCAGTGTCTTTTTTATGTCAGATGCCTCGGGCTTTAATTAGGAACCTGTCAATTTACTCAACTTCACAAATTGCCTCGTTCATTACGGTTTCAATAAATGGTACAGTGATATCTGTCGCCCTGGCCTCTGTGTAACGCGTATAACGTTGGCCTTTGCAAGTGAACCACAGAACAGACTGTCATGAAACAGGCAACAAGTCTCGAAAACTTGCTCTCCATTCATTTACACTATTTTTAATGAGTCTGTCAACAAACCTCAGCGGGTTGGAAGCTGAATAATCTTTTCGTGTTGAAGTAGATTGATTCTTAAGTTATTTAACGATGCCGTTACAAACACAGAACTTATAAACATTAGGAGTTGAAACACAATAGTGATCGAAGGACTGAAAAAACTAATATTAGCCATAAAGATACCAAGATTTGAAATGGATATCTCCAGAGCAGAAGGCCACAATCTTACCGCTATACTAATCTGTTCGGTGCCATGACGAACGCATACGACTCATCATACTGGACTGCAATTATGGAAAGCATATCAGGAAAATCAGTGACCACAAGAGCTCTTAATGAACATTTCATTTCCCATGTCGATTGATACTCAGTTTTACGTTACATTCACATATTACGATCACAATTTCTGCATGCAAAGCTACTCACAGTTCATGATTATCTTACCATACAAATATTACAGATGCTCCCTGGTTATTCTAGTCTCTACTTATGCAAATTCGACCTTGAGAAAATTGTTCCATATGGCATGCAATAAAATTCTCCAGTTGTGGAAAACTTTGCGTTACTTGCAGAAACACAAAGTAGTCCGGTGCGTGGATGAATATCGTAAAGCGATATTCAGTTCCGTATATATTGTGACATGTTGCGCAACGGGGGACCCCTAACTCCCCAGCGGCACGTGGCGGTAACGTAGCGCCTCGTAATAGGCGAGTCATCAGCCCGCCACTCTCCCCGCGGTGACGTGTCGAGCGGAGCCGAAGTGAGCCGAGCGGAGCCGAAGTTAGCCGAGTCCCCGCAACCTGGTAGCTACGCAACGCGAGTCAACAGCGGTGACGTCACCAAGGGATATCGCGGTTGCTAGGCAGCAGTCAACAACTCCGGACAGCGTTGCTAGCAACACGGCATCAGACGACAATGGTCCGTAACGAGGCTACATAAGAAGAAGCGAAGGCTATTCACAGTTAGTCCTCGAGCTACCTCCGAGTTAGTTCCGAGAAAGCCTACGAGTCAGTGTGTTATAAACGAGTTCTCAGTTCGCAAGTTACGAGCTACAGACGCGTGTGCGAGAATCAGTGATAGTCCGTGATAACCAGTTATATTTGGAGTGTGTAATTCAGGGAGAATTGTACAGCTCCCGCGTTCTTAATACGTGAAGACTCTTGAAGATAGTGTTAAGAGATTTTGTTGTAGGGTTTGTAAAGTGTGGAAACCCGTAACATTGTTATAATTAATTGTAGCCGTGATTTGTAGGTTGTTAAATAAACCAATTAACGATCTCTACGGCGTATTCAGTAACGAAACACGTTACAATATTTTCCACAGGCGGTAGGACCCCTTGGACGAGTGATCAGCTCGTCGCAAGGTCACTGCCTAAACACAAGACAACACAAACACAGAATAAATGCATACACACACCAAAAATCCATGCCCTGAGTTGTATTCGATAGCACGATGCTAGCCTCAGAGCGAGAGAAGACTGCCTGTATATCCGCATGTAACTGTTTCTGATGCAGGATATCTGCCTGTACAGGTATATCTGTAACTATGCTTCTAATGGAGGTGAGCTGCCGGTATATCCACCTCTAATTACACTCGTATCTCCAACCCTATGTTTCTGATATGAGTGAATTTCCTGCATATCCTCGGCAAATCTGTTTTTCTGATGGATGCCAGGTGCCTGTATACACGGTGCGTCCAGGATCCGTTAGGACTATTTTTTTTCTTTCTTCCTTTTTTAATTTTGCCCTGCAATGCCATCTGTTGGCGAGTTGTGGCGTTAAGATTCTTGAAGTTTCAGCTGTGGTTGTCTATAATTTCAAAATGCAAGCATCGCTGCATTATGTGTTATGACCTTGAAAGTAACAGTACTGTTCTGACGGTCGTCAGAAAATGACGGTTGAACAGAGAGCCAACAACATTTTTTTTAAGTTAGGCAAAACAGCCGGAGAAGCGTACGAAATGATAAAAAGTGTGTACGGTAGTGATTGTTTGATTCGCTCGAACATTTTTCGATTGTATGCTATATTTCATGATGGCAGGGAGTACATTGAAGACGCTCCACGTGCATCAAAGCGGAGAACGAGTAGCATTGAAGAAAATGTGAAAATAGTGACCGAAATCCTTGCATCAGACAAATGTGTTTCTGCAAGTCTCATCGAGGAGCTTTTGGGAATACCAAAAAGTACTGTGCATCAAATTTTGACCAGGATTTGCGCAAACGAAAGGTCTGTGCGCGGTTTGTACAGCACGCGCTGTCAGGCGATAAAAACATACCAGAGTGGAACACTGCAGAGATATGTTAAGGTCGGCCCAAAGTGATACAAAATTTACAAAATCGATTGTTACTGGTGATGAGACATGGTGTTTCAATATGAGCCTCTCACAAAGCGGCAGAGTGCAGCGTGGTAGAGCCCAAAGAAGCCGAAACCAAAGAGAGTGCACATGCAAAAGAGTCGAGTAAAGACACTGCTAACCGTTTTCTTCGATCCCAAAGGAATCATTCATAAGGAATTTCTGCCAGAAGGTCAAACAGTGAATTCTGATTATTATCTCGAGTCCTCAATCGTTTGTGGGCGACAATTCTTCGAATTCGACCTGAATATCGAGAGCAAGGTTCCTGTCGCTCCTCCATGACAATGCCCCACCCCACAAATCGAAGATTTTTTGGTCAGAAAAGGGGTCACAGCCCTTGATCATCCTACACATTCGCCAGATTTGGCTCCAGCAGATTTCAGATTGTTTCCAAAAGTTAAGTTGGCGATGAAATGAGACCGTCACGGCACCATCCAGGACATCAAAAGGGAATCTACAGCAGTTTTAAATATGATTCCACATAAGGAGTACAGTGACTGTTTTCGAAAACTTTCCAATCGATTCCAGCTATGTATTGATTCAGAAGGAGACTATTTTGAATAAAGGAGTGAAATTTTGAAAATAATTCACTTCTTGTATTGCTAATGAACACAGTCCTAACAGAACCTAGACGCACTGTGTATGTGGCTTAATTACACCCATTTCTTCATTTTTGTGTCTCTGGTACAGGTGAGCTGCCAGCCGCGGTTCACCACGGAAATGCGGCCTGTGAGCAGCCCCGCCCCGCGTGGGGTTGGGTAACTCTGTTCCTGGTACTTCACATCGCTGTCTGCAGGTGACACTACAGCCGTGTGTAGCGACCGCCACTTCACTTGCAATTCAAGCGGTGAGTATGGTTACTAAACTGACTTGTAACGACCTGAATTCTCTGGGACAGATTTATGGCCACACACCACTCTCAAAATTTTTATCTCCACAACATGGCGTTCTTCATTAACAGATTTTATTAATATTATGAAAATTACCGTATAGTCGAGATTTGCAACAGCGACCTCTGTTCATGGGTAATTACTTCAGTATTAGTAGTAGTACTAGTAGGTACTACATATTATACAGGTTTTTCTACAATAGAACATTCACAGTAAACAGAGGTCTCATGTGGTAACAACGCCAAATTCTCCAGTTCTTCGGTGTTGGACAATTTCTGAATATGCTGAGTATAAATTCAAAAATTTAAATAGCAATCCAAATTTAGCTGTGACTCTTACCAGTTAAATTATGTCATAAATTCTGTGGAGAACTAAAATGCTACGAGTACAATGTACAATTGAAATTTTCAATATTTGACGGAAAACAAGCCGGAGAAAAACAGCAAAAGCGAGTCATTTCATATTTTAAATCGCTTTTCTGTGCCAACGATTCGGTTACGCTGAACCTTCATATTCCAGTGCGCTGTTGCCAATTTCACATACGTAATTTGAAACGTCAGATATGTTCCCATGCATGTTTGCTGCAGAATCATTCGGAAACCAGTCACGATTAATCGTACACAGTAATAACCATATCAGCGCTTTTATGTGGACCTGAATGTTGGACGCTAACGAAGGAAGGAATGAGAAGACTGGAGAAAGGAAGCGGAAAAGAGATACAAAATGAGGGCTGATGAAGGTAATGAAGAGGTTATGGAGGAGTCAGGGATAACAGATGTCAGTAAAATAACGCAATACTAACAATATAAATGAAGGTTTCTATCTTCTGGGACACAATACCATGCAGTCTGTTGAAAGTTAACTGATATTTCGAAGTAACATTTTGCCTCTATCCTCAGGCTTGATCAGTAAGCCAAGCATGAACCAACTGCCTGTTCTGCGTTTGTTTCTTTGTAGGTTTACTCTTCAACCCGAAAATTGGGGTGACATATTCCTCCATAACGTCGGTTGACATTCACTAGGCTACACGGCGTTACATTCCAGAAGATAGAAGAACTCTTAATAAAAATCACCTTCCAAGTACACTAAAGAGAGAGCCTACACAGCACAATTTAATGTGCCTGCATTTCATTTAATTATTCTACTTAATGTAAGGATATTGAGGAATTCGTATTATTATTATTNCTCACCTTTTGAAGTTCTCTCCGGTGTACCTCAGGGATCTGTCTTGGGACCCCTTCTCTTCAATGTGTTTATTAATGACATGTGTGATGCAGTTGCCCACTCTGTGTGTCTGCTTTTTGCTGATGACGTCAAAATTTACCGAACCATCATTTCTCCTCAGGACTGCTATCTACTTAAGTCTGACATTAACTCTATACAAGGCTGGAGCATTGCTAACTGTATGAAACTCAACGCAGTAAAACTAAAGTTATATCTTTCTCCAGGAAAACCAACGCACTGATCTACGGTTATAAACTTTGTCAATCGTCAATAGCCCGGACCGATTCTGTAAAAGACCTGGGAGTGTTTATTGACGCTAAGCTATATTTCCATGACCAGGTCAATTACATATTCTCTCACTGTGCTAAACTGTTGGGTCTAGTTCGTAACAATACTTTCAATATCTCATCTCTAGACTGTATGCTCAGATTGTACACTGCGTTAGTTAGATCTAAGCTTGAATATGCGTCCGTAGTCTGGAATTCGATTACGTCAACTGATGCCAATAGCTGGAACGCATCCAGCAGAGGTTTGCGGCCCTCTGTTTTAATCGTTTCTTTCCTCAAGTTCATTACAGTTATTCTCTTGCTCTGGAGGAGTTAAAATTGCATACTTTACGTACTACGAGATATCGCCTTGTGCTCTCTTTCTTATTCACGTTTATTTTGGCTCGAAATTCTGCCCTTCTGTGCTGGAAATTGTTGGTCCCCGAGTTCCTGCTCGGTATATCAGAGACTTTGCATTGTTCAATGTTTGCTCCTCATGTAAAAATTGTCCCTCTGCTGGATGTGCAGCAGCTGCTAATATTGTCTGCAGGGATGTTGACGTATTTGGAGCCAGGAAAGTTCTCCCCAAACGATTTTTAAATATAGTATAATTGTTAGGATTATTATTTTTTGCATGTGCAATAAAACAATAAACTGAGTTATTATTATCCTCTGAAAATCTATACTTTTCATTTCTTAATTAATATTTATATGTTTCATTTCTCACTTCTCAATAACACTTAGATTTATGTTAATGAAATTATTATTATTGCTATTATTGTCATTTGTTTGTTTGTTTAATTTCCTACATTATTGTGTTTTCCCCAGTGCTTGCCTGTAATTTGTCTTTGACTTTATAATGTGTTTGTCTATAATATAATTACTTTTATCTACACTGTGCTCTGTCTGCAATTGGCCTTGCGGCTGTTGATTCGGCACATAAATAATAAAGAATTGAATTGGATTATTATTATTGTTATTATTATTATTATTATTATTGACTGCCTCTGTGGTCTAGTAGTCAGAGTTCCTGGATACAGATCCAGAGGTCCCGGGTTTGATTCCCGGCACTACCAGATATTCTGAGAAGTAGTGGGTCTGGAACGGGGTCCACTCAGCCTCGTGACGATAACTGAGGAGATGTTTCAAGGAAATAGTGGCTCCGGTCTAGAAAACCGAGATTAACGGCCGTGGGGAACCGTTGCGCTGACCACGCGACACCTTCTATCCGCTAGAGTTGGCACTAACTTCGCGGACAAGCGGCGGTCGCTTGGTCGGTATAGTTCGTTTGCGGAATAAAGGCCATGGCATATCTTTATTGTTATCATTATCTACTGTCGACATTTAGGCCACTAGAGCTTGTTGTGAATCTTACTGACGATCCGAAGCATTGGTTCTTATTGCTTAGCTGTCCAGTCTGTGTCATCTGTTACGGGAACGAGAGCGGTGGTCGTCAGTTAGTGACGTAGACCATTACGTCATCATTAGAAATTTACTGGATCCATATGCATACGGGGGTGAGACCTTTCTTCCATAAGGTTGCCTACACAAAATACCTGAACGCACCCTGGATCGTAGAATAAAGGGACATTATTAATTAAGCTTCATTCTTCCCTAATATTGTATTATTTGTTTCCTCCCCGGCTCTCTGTTATCTTTTTAGGACATTTTCCTAATATCCTCTATAATGTTAGCCGTCTAATTGTTTATTTGGGAAATTAAACCGAACTTCTATAAGTATCCTTAAAATGCCGTGCCCGTTCAAATACTGAGCACTGGGAAACTACCAAAAAGCAGTCATGTATTAGGTTCTACCGATTTATTGAATGATCGATTAGGTGCCAGATTTACTGATATTCTAATTTATTTATTCATTGATTGATGGATTGATTTGTCGATATTTGGATTCGTTACTGATAATTTATAGCTGCAGAAGTTGTATGATTAGCAGATGAGAAATTGAAAGGAGAAAGTTGTGACTCTTTGAACATACCGTTCTGTGATTCGAATGGAGAGCTTGAGGAATATCTCGAAAACGTACGTCAGGATAGTCTGTAACCCGGTCGAGATCCGAAGCGACCCTCTCCCAGACACAAGTCTAGGCTATCACTCACTGACCTCTTATTATGATCGTATAAAGTAACAATAAAATTATACGCAGTTACTGAATTATTTGTCAGTTTAGAAACCAAATTTTATATTATCAGTATCTGTTATGGTAGGATCACAAGGGCGCTTCATGTTGGGCCTATACAGAGATAAAGTAACGTTTTATGGTTATGGGATTTAATAAATTGAGGACTGGTGCCAATGCTGTGGCATTTTGGGCCTCATCCCCCCCCCAATAGAGCTATTAAGAGAAAAATTATTTATTGAATATTTTTCTGTGTTGTTATTTCTCCCCTCTTCACCCTCACAGCAATCTTACATGTTAGCCGTTTCGCGGTTCCTCCCCACCGCTGCGTCAGCTCCAGAAATATACGTGTTGTGTGAGCAATCTATGAGTCAGTAGTTTCATTGCATGTCATGAATTATTATTTGTGGATCTGATTACGTCGAGAAAAATACATTTATTTACGCATTCCATACCCTCAATGGTTTCCGCAGTGTGGTGTTCTGGTTTCATGTTTCCTGCAGTACAGACCTGTGATTCTGAATATGTGATCTGCGAGGGTACAGCAAGTCCTAATTACCGCGTTTAGATGTGCACGTTACATGTCTGCTGCTCATTAAGATCAGATGAATCCTCTAAAGCCTGAAGAAAAGGGGGAGAGACAGACGGAGAAAATAAAAGGGACCAGTGAGAGATACTATGTTTTTGTGAGAACAAAATAGTTTTCTGCGTTTGAAGGTTCCCAGGCAGTGCCCGCTAGTCCCGCTTGTAGAACTACCTCGTACATACTGTTTAGAGAACAAAGGTGGAATAGGGTTAGGAAGTGGACTCAGTGTCAATTAGTTTTTTACAGTCTCACGTGAAATACTATACTTTATCAAATTTGTTAAAAGTTTTTCACTTTAAAAGTTTATCACTATATGTTTCGACGAATATGGTCATCATCAGGTATTAAAATTGCTGGGCAAGGAAAACTGCTGCCTTCTGTTGTTGCTTATGTTGTTAATATAGAAGTTCCCTGGATGCGCATGCGTGTTTGGGTTGTTGGGTTGTGTACTCTCCTGCTGTGTGTACAGCAGGATTCCACAATATAGTATTATTATATTAGCAAGTGGACTTAGCTGTGAGCAGAGGAGAAAGTTCCAGCAAGGCTTTATTGCGTAGGATAGGCCGCGCTATAGCTCAGGCTGTTAGCCGCTGGCTTCCCACCGCGGCGGCCCGGGTTCGTGTGACTAAGTCCCTCTAGTACTTTCATATCCACCTACTGAACTGCGCATGTTTTGAAATACAGTCCCGATATTACCCGTTACTGTTGTAGCCGTGCCCGAAATTTCGAGAATGCGACACAACAGCC